ATGAAGGAATGGGAATCCATGTCACACACAGGAGTTCAGTGCTTTTCATTTTAAGACTCAAAAAATATCAAGAGCTAACTGGCTAACATTTTCCATAAGTTTTTGAAGTCTGGATCATGTAACTGAGTGCCTGAAGTGTACTGGACACAGTGCATGCTTTAATCACACCTTTCTTCCCAGAAGTTCTTATTAAGCTGCCACCTAGCAAGTCATCCATTCTCATTTTGGAGATTTCAGGTGACAGCAAATGCACTTCATCTCCAGGTCAGTTGCACCCTTCCTAATTACAGGTTGTGCTGAAATTTTGCACTTTATTTCTAATCTGAAGAGTTCTAGGTTTATCTTCCAGCCGTGTAATGTAATTATGCCATTTTCTACTCTGCTCAAGAACCATCTACCAGCCAACTCTTGTACCCAGCCCCATGAGCTCTCCTGGGGTCTTCCTTTGGAATTCCTTTTGGACTTGGCTTGGCCAGGTTGCTGCAGTGTGTTGCAAAAGTGCACACCTTTTGGTTGTGTCCTGGGTTTGCTGGTGACCACGGCTTGGCTTCTTGAAGAGCTGCACTGAAGGAAGCAGATGAGCTTTCAGATCACTCAAAAACCACTGCGAATTTATGTGCTTGCATCTGGTGAGTTTGGAATGCAAGACACTGTTAGAAACAAGCGGTGAGAGCAGAGTAAGATATGCGGTTCAGGGAGTCGTGCCAGGCAAAATTCTCATCGTCCAAAGTGCTGATTGCTTTTTACCTGGAATGCTGATGCACGTAGTATAAAGCTATCTTGCTAATATATGCTTCAAATCTGAAAGGAGTGGATGTGCTGTTCACGAAGGACATGTGCTGAGGCTAGCAGAGCACCCAGCCTGCTATAATTACAGCTCTGGGTGATGGTACTGGCAGGGGTGCGAGACCACTGCATTTTCTCTTTTAAGCTCCATAGCCTCATTAAGAAATTAAAACATTTATGGGTGTTTCATGTGGTGTTTCTCCCTCTGGGAGGTCTCAGCTAGATGACTGTCAGCATGGTGATGCAGGCTATAAAGGTTCAGAGCATTACCTTGATGATACGTCAGCCTCTTCCATTTAGACTGCAATCCAAGGCTCGTTTTTCCTCTGAGGCATTCATTGAAATTCTGTGCACGATTTGTTCCTCTGGTTGTTTAACAATGTCTCTCATGTTTGCCCTGATTTAAAAAATCCTCCTTTGTAGCGGAGATAACATGGAGCAGGATGATATAATTGCAGTAAAGAGGCCCAGGAGCTCACAGTAATAGGATGGTTCATCTGATGTGTACTGCCATTAGAAAATAACCCACGTATGTGTGTTCTCAGGGGACAGTAAAGAGGCTTTTAAGGATTACACTTTATGTAGTATGAAAGCTAACGAGCAAAAGAGCAAGTATGAACAAAACTTACTGCAGAAAGCATGGTGCCATTTCCTGTTCTCACCCATTTCCTCATACCTTTGTAGCCCCAAAAGGCCCATCTCTGCCCAGCAATGCATGGCTTTTCCTCCAGAGCCTTTTGAAAACACCGTATTTTCATTTCATTGAAAAATATGAGTGTCAGAAGCATGAGAGAGCTGAAACCACCAGATTGAAACCACCATGTGTGTACACATGGTAAATGTAAATAAAGTAAAGTAAATAGTGTTGGGGAAACAGCAATCTGATAGTCTGTGCCTTCAAAAAATGGGTGGTTTGCTAGAATGATAAGAGTTTCACAAGCACTGCTGAAAGGCTGAGATATTGAGGCCATCGGGAATGAAGAGTCTTACTTCTCCCATCTCCATTCTTTCTCTGGACCGTGTGAGAAAACATAAGAAATGAAGAGTCAGAACTGCCAAGTTTTGGTTGCAGAGGTGGAAAATTCAGAACACCTGTTTTCTGGTATTAACAGCTTCTTGTACAAATGACTGCTGTAATGTGCCAGTTCTTTCCTCTCACTTTTGTGCAGGAACAGAAGCCAACCAGTAATCTTAAACATCCCATACACAATTCATGATTCAATGGAGCTGTGGTCAAGAGACTGCAGTAGCTGCTTCTGGACCACAGAAGTGACAATTTCCCTTAAAGACAAAGAATAGTCAGGACACTGTGCAGGCAGATTCTTACATTAAGATCTCTTTGCTTCCATCTAATCACATTGGAAGCACATTAGAGTACATCCGAAGTACTTTTCTGCTTATATTGAGGTCCCTCTGGGTGGTCAGAGCATTGTAAATAACTTGCACAGGAGAGTGGGAAAGAGGTCTTCTTTGACTGGCAGGGCAGTGAGGACTCTGTGCTGGGACATGGATGAGGGGTGTATGTGCCCCCTGGGCTGAAGAAAGTACTCTGAAGAAAGAGTAATGGGGTCATTAAAATAACAATCCACAGCCTGGCAGACTTCAGCTCTTGAACCTTTTTAACACATTTTGCATTCTTGCACCTAAACTGCATAGTGGTTATAATGTCAGCTGGAGCACCTCTCCTATGATGAAAGGTTGAGGGAGTTGGGATTGTTTAGCTTGGGGAAGAGAAGGCTCAGGGGAGACCTCATTGCAGTCTTCCACTGCTCAAAAGGATCTTACAAGCAGGAGGGGGGTTGACTTTGTACACAGGTAGATAGTGATAGGACAAGGGGGAATGGATATAGACTGAAAGAGGGGAGGCTTAGATTAGATGTTAGGAAGAAGTTCTTCACTCAGAGAGCAGTGAGGCACTGGGACAGACTGCCCAGAGAAGTTGTGGACGCCCCATCCATGGAGGCATTCAGGGCCAGGCTGGATGGGTTCCTGAGCTGTCTGATCTAGTGGTTTGCAACCCAGTCCACGGCAGGGGGTTTGGAACTAGATGATCTTTGAGGTCCCTTCCAACCCAAGCCATTCTATGATACTGTGATCTACTAAGCAGTGTTTACTGATACAGAGAAGGATTTTGTCAGTACATTTTGGCAGGTAGAAGTTCTCTCAACCCCGTGAAATGACACCTACATGTTCAGCATAAAGGTGGCACCTCATCATTTTCATAACTTGTTTCAGGTTGATACCCATGTCAGCACTGGGCAATAAATTAATTGTTGAATACGGAGCACAACACTGAGGTGAAGAGACAACTATCAGCAGCAGCCTGATTAAAATAATGATAATGCAATTACATTGAGAGCTGACAGCAAGGCTGCTCTGATGTGGACCCCAGTGGTGTCTGTCTGTCTGTGGAGCACCTGTCACTACCCTATGTCAGTGCATCACGGTCCAGAGCCCAGGTCCAATATTTGGTAGCATTCCTCAGATTCGCATCACTTGGTCTCTGGTCCACCATCAGTCCATTGGTAATCGGTGCATCTGCGCCTTGATTTGACAAATGCCACTGATGTGAAATGAATTCTCTTTTGAGGCTTCCACTGTCAGTTCCTCTCTGCTTAAATTTCCAGTCCTGTAGATATCAGAATAGCAGTGCTAAATTTTTTATTTCTGTCCTTTCTGCCCTCTGTCTCCATAATTGGTATAAAGGAGCAGAAGAAGACTTGCGGTTTTATTATTGCTTCATAAGCCTTCTGTAAACTCAGTCACAGCATTTCTGATATTGGTAATTTTTGTGACTGAAAAATATGCTGACTCTGTGTTTGTGTGCAGGAAAAGAGCAAATTTGAATGTATAATAATCTGATGCATTGGGGAGACGTTTGACGCTATATTCCAGCCAAGTTAATCACTTGCAGAATTAATTTTTGTTTTTATTATTTTGCCTGGCTGACAGGAGACATTAATTCAGATCTATGGAAAAGGCATCCTTAATGCCCCAAAATGATCAGAGATCCCAGAGATCCCCAGCATTTCTCAAGCATCAGGAAAGGTTTTGAAGGAAAACTGTCAGTTCTCAATAGACTGTCAGAAACAGAGACATAAGTAACTTTATTTTTGTTACATAATGAAGAAATACTCAGGTGATGATTTCCAATTCATTGAGTGTATCAAACCATGTACTTTATTCATGAATATAAATTGAGCAGACGCAACACACATTTTTCATATAAAAATAACACAGCATTGCTGCTTCTGATAATTCTTCTTTGCCTGAAATATGCTTATTATGAAAACATTGCCACAGAGTTAGTAGTGCACTGCACAGCTACATGTTAAAAATACGAGTGCTAAAGGACGAAGATGACTCGAGGAGGAATTATTCACAGATCCATAATGACCCTGGCTGGCTGTATTTTTCAAGGACAAGGATCTTTCTACATCTTCTTTTCTGTTTCCACCTTTTCTTTTTGCAAAATTCTTCATCTGAAACCACTAGCCTCCACCAGTAAGCTCACTCTTACCTCTTACCAGCAAGGCTGGGTCGCATTGCTGTCACGTTGTTTCCCATCCACGCCCCTGCCTCTTTAACAGCTTTGCCCTCTAGATCTTCTGGGCTTTGCCCATTTCTCAATCAGTCCTACAAAAGCTGCTGCTTTTGAACGCAGACCAACGGGGGCCTGGAGCAGGAGCACCAAAATTCCATCCCTGGGCAGGTACTTCTGAGTTCCTCTTGTGCCAAATGTGGAATGAGTGGGGTGGAATATGACCCTTACGTTGTATGTGTGCCAGTTGTACAAAAAACTTTGCGAAGGGGAGCTGCTGAGTATATAGATGCTGTTCTTGATTAAATAAAGCCATCTCTGTATACGTCATACTAGTGGAGCATTGCAAGGGAGGTAAGAGGAAGGGAGGGTGCTTTCTGAGGCACAAATCTGAAGATAAGAAATGCGACCTGAAGGAAAGCTGCCAGGTAAGATGGTGATGGCCAAGTACTGGTGTCCTTGAAATGCATGGGGATTGGCCTCAGAGGAAGAAGTTGGCAGCCAGTGGCACCTTGTGTCTACCTAGGGCTTTAAATTGCATCTTGACGTCACATGTCACTCAGGGTGGCCTCTCCTCTCCTGCAGGGCTGCAGGATGTTCACCGTGACTGAGAATGGTTTTAATTGCGACCCTAAAAGCAAAAGCATATGTGAAGGTGGCATTCTTCTTGCAGGTTACCAGCCTGTCCTGCCGAACCAGCAGCAAGGGTTCCAGGGCCTCATGGGAATGCAGCAGCCTCCCCAAAGCCAGAGCCTGATGAATAATCAACAGGGAAACCAGGTGCAAGGCATGATGGTGCAGTATCCAGCCATGTCGTCTTATCAGGTATCACAAGCTGCAAGGACTGCTTTTTTTATTTTGCAGAGTGTGTAATTGAATTAAGTTTTCATGTCACGGAATGGTCTTTATTACTTCATTAGGGAAGCATGTGGCAGGAGGTCTCCAGATAAATGCCCTTTTAAGTCAAATGGGTTTCTCTGCTTCCTGTTTATGTATTCTTAGTACTCCCGATTTTCATTGTGAATTGGGAATACATTAAATGAACTATTTATTACAGCCTGCAGTGCGGGTGAAACTTCACAAAGCACGAAGGAATTATACTACTTCTTGTGCCAAAAATTAACTGAAGAAATAAGAGACAGAAACACTGTTCTCTTTTCCTTTTTTTTTTTCCTGCCAGTGCAGTACTGCTTTCTGTAATAAAATTAAGGGCTTTGCCTGATCCAGTTAACAGTCACTCATCTGTGAAGACTGTTGCCAGTGTCTTCAGAGAGAGGATCTCACCCTGCCTTCTGAGACATGCTGTGGCCAGAGAGAGATTCGTTTATTGGAGTTAGAAAGGATGTGACTTGTGTTTTACCAAGGCCATAAGTTAGCCAGACATCTGCCTTATACCTGGGTTCTGTGAGTTATGACAAGAGCATACAAGACCACCTACAAAGTGGCTGGTGCTTATGTTTCCTGGCGATCCCTCTGGAAAGTTATGAAACTCAATGATGTTAATCCATTTCCATAGATTGCACTGATAAAGCATCCATTCACCTCTTCCATCAGCTTCCCTGAAAACACGACGTCAATCCAAATGGAAATGGAGGAATTGCTTGTGTATTTTTCCCTTTATGTCTTCAGATTTAATATACAGAAGATGTGTTTTAAAGGTAATGAACAGGTTGAAGCCCTGCACTTTTTCAATGGCCTAAATATATTAGGGTCGAGTCTTCCATTTGCACTGGTGTGGGCAATTCATCCTCAGCCATATATCATGGCAGGGCCACTTGATGGTACCAAGAAGCACAGTGATTTTGCTTTAACCCATCTCTAGTCAACAGAAAGTCCTCAAGGATTGGAACCATTCTGAGCAGCAGCAGGACATTGTTTGAGCATGCTGTATACCTAAATTCAGACAGAAGGAAAACTCAAATATTCAGGACCTACTTGAATTTATTTACTAATTACTGCTTTTTTCGACCTGTTTTTCTACTCCTGCCTAGGTGCCAATGACCCAGGGTTCTCAAGGACTGCCACAACAATCATATCAACAACCAATCATGCTACCTAATCAATCAGGTCAAGGAACACTTACAGCCACTGGAATGCCTGTTTACTGTAATGTCATACCTCCTGCCCCACAGAACAACCTACGGTTGATTGCCCCACACTGCCCCTCCAATAACGTTCCAGTTATTTCTGCCAGCTGCAGGACAAACTGTGCGAGCATTAACAATGCAGGGTGGCAGGTCAAGTACTGACGCTGTGGCCTAGCGCGGATATACGAGGATAGCGGTGCATTATTTGACAAATATCTCATGGCCTTCAAATGAAGAGGAACACAAGATCAACAAGATCAGTTGAGGACATAAGTACTGACTATGCTCAAGTGATTTGCTGCTGGAAAAATCTGTAAAAAAAAAAAATAATAATAAAAATTTTGAAAAAAAAAAATGTTTGCTGGTTAATGGTGCATATTTTTGTCATGTCTGCTAGGTATGCCTTTATAGCTTAGCTAGTGACATGAATTCATTGAGGTAAGATTTTTTCCTACCACTGAACACCACTGTGTAGATTGTAATATCCCTGATTCGGATTAGTTTTGTACTTTGTGTTGAGTTTGTGAAGCTAAAAGTATTTAAAAAAATATAATAAAATCACATTGTACCAAAGCTGTAATGGAGTTGAAAAAAAAAAAAAAGAAAAAAAAGCAAGAATTACTGAATGGAAGGAATAATTTATATACACTATAGAGTTTTTTTTATGGATATATACTGTATTGTAGTGTTTAATCACAATAAAGCTATTTGACCTCATGGAGAAAGGTCATCTTTCTACCACCTGCTTGGTCTCCTCTCTGTTTCTGAGTGAGTGATCTTCCCTTTGGTTCTCTATTGTCTTGTTTTAGGTGAGGCTAAGGGGAAAATTATGCTTAGTGGGTTTGTGGGAGTTTGGGGAAAAGGCTGAACGTCTTAATATACAGCACCATAACTGCAAAGGCCACTTAGAAATACGAGCGTACACACTCAGAGGTGCCAGATTATCTTAAACTAAATTTGTGCATTTCCAGTCCCCAGCTCCACTGACGTCACCAACATGATTTGCTACAGCCGCTACCTTACACCCGTTCAAGAGGTTGAACGTAAAGCACAGATGTCCAGCAAACCTCCTCCACTGGCTGTGGGAGGTCAGTTGCCACTGGTGCAGCAGCCATAGAACCCAGCACTTCTTCCACAGTACATCCCAGTCATTGCTGCTGTAGCTATAAGGACATTTGAAACAAAAGGATGACTGCCCATGTGTCTGATCTGTTACGTTCACGTAATGGGGATTAAATATACGTTTGGGGCTCGGGCTCTTAAATCATGTGGAATGGTGCTTTGCCAGAAAGTTAGATTTTTATCAAAGTTTTTGCGGTGTTTCTCATTACATTCATGTTCACCCAAATTCCCAGCTTGTTTTGATCAATTATTCTGCATTCATAAATGCTGTATAGAGTTCCTCAGACTGCTTCAGCGATGAGAACATTTGAGTTGCAAATGTGTTTACCAGACAAGTGTGTTTTTTTCTCTCACTTAAGCAGCTTTCAGATCAGTTCTTTAAGACAGGCTGCAGTTGTGCACCCCAGAATTCTGCACACCTATCATGAAAAAGCCTGAGATTCTTCTGTGTGTAAAATCAGCATGTGTCCTAGTAGGATTTTAAGTACACTCATGTTGATAGTAGTCACCAATGCCTTTGGCCATGGCTAATCCAAATGTAAAGCAGCTTTGGTTTTTCTCTTAAGAGCAGCATTTCCTTTAAACACTTCAACTGTGGGAGCACGAATCACACGAGCTACAACCCACATTTAAAACAAATATTTTTCTTTTCCATACGATAAACGTATCTGTCTTAGAGTGTGGGATTTCTACCGGAATGCAGTCCTGCGGGATAGTAAAAAAGCGGAACACTGACTTTTATGTAGAGTAATCACAACTCATTTGCTGAGAGACAGTCAAGAACAAGAGCAGGTAGGTAAACACAACTCGCTCTTCAATTAGAGGTGAAACGCCTGGGGAGAGCAGACTGATTGAATTCTTTTTCCTTTTCTAAATCAAGACACAACATTTGAATTTTGCCTGTGACCCAGAACTCTCATTTCAGACACTCAGCGTCGCGTGGCTTATTTGCTTTTTAACGTTTTAAACGCCATTGAGGGTTCTCTCCTAGCATTCATATAATGACACATAATTGGATTTGCTGCTGCTGAATGAGTGATTGCGGAATGAACGGCTGTCCTTCCCAGTCAGAGCTTGAATCCAGCAGGAGGGACAACCAGTGACCTTGGGCAGGGCAGGTTGAGCTGGTGGGGAGGGTAAGCAAAGCACTGTACGCAGTGTCTGGAGTAAAGAGACCCCTTAGCAACCACTGTATTGAGATCTTGTTTCTTCTCCAAAGCATTACTCTAACCTAATCGATCGTCCTCTGCGTCACGAGATCCGAATGAATTGCCTGCTGAAAACCACCTCCCCTCAGCATCCTACATCAATGGGCTGTAAATTCACGTGGTGGCAACTGGGAAGGGAGTCAAAAAGCTAAGCCTGGGAATGTTGCTTCTGTTAAAACACACAATTTCCTCACTTTCTTATGCCACTGTGTTGGTCACGTCCCTTTGGCAAGCAGCACATCCATGACCAATGCTGTGAATTCTCCTCTCTTATTGTGAATTCTCTCTTTGCTTATTCAGTGAGTGGCACACAACTCACATAAAAGATGCAGACAGCCTCGTGCAGGAGCACCCGCCTGCAGAGCCAGAAACCTTTCTGCTGAAGGGCAGCTTTAATTTGCTGTGTAAATGGAGCAGCTTCAGGAAGAGGTCACAGCCACCACCCAGACACAGCCTACATCCCATGATTTCCTCACTCTCCATAGAGTTTGAATCTCCTTAGGCATAAGAGGAAACCAAATTTGATCTCCGTCAGCCATGAAAAATGTCCTAATTATTAAGGTAACATATACTTGGGGGACACATCTCACATGGTGGGGCACGTAGGTGCTTTACTCTGGAAGAATTTATAATGGAAGAATTACAAATTAATTCTGCTTCCATATCAAGTAAAGTACAAAAGTTAACCTCTAATTCAATTTTTATATCATAAAATTATTTTTTAAGCTTTTCTAAATTTTATTTTTGTTACTGAAAATATTCCGAACTGGATTGCTTAGCAGCTTTCTGCTATTAAACTAGAAATGCATTCAGCCACTGATAGAAGAAGAGAAAAAAAGAAAGCAATTTGTATATAAATGCAACCAAAATGCTGCAGAATTGCTTTGTGGCTGCGTTTTTGCTTTCTCCTTTTTTAGATTTTGGAGCTGATGGAAAGTTCTCCCATGGCCCAGTATATATTTTGTCACTGGCTTTTTTTGTTGTTGTTGTTTTGTTTAAAATTCTTTATTTGCACTGAAAAAAAAAACCCAAAGAATTAAGTTGACTGCATCAGAGGACACTGCTTAGATTTCTGGATGTGTCTAACTCATGTGAGCTATACATCCTAACAGAAGACAGATGCCATCTGCTTTTGTTTTGCCCTTTGTACTACACGAGAAGCCAGTGATTTCCTTCTTAAACTGTATTCCATTATGTTTCCATTTAACTCCATGTGAACAGCTTCTTGTACTCAGACTGCATAAATTACTCCAGCAGCAAGGAATGGCACAGGGAGATAGCAGCATGCTGACGGCATCCCACTCTGCCCTGTTAGCCACTCTGTAGCATGACAACACATGCTGGCACCACCACTGGGTGCTTGAATGCTAAAAGAGAAATTTGATTCAGGACCCACAAGGATTACCAAGTCCAACTCCTGGCTCCACACAGAACCGCCCAAAATCCAAACCCCGTGTCTGAGAGCAGATGCTTCTTGCACTCCAGCAGCTTGGGGCTGTGACCACTGCCCTGGGCAGCCTGTTCCATGCCCACCGTGCTCTGGTGAAGTGCCTTTTACCAACCCCCAACCCGGCCCTCCCCTGGCACAGCTCCATGCCGTTCCCTGCCCTGTCGCTGTCACACAGAGCTCAGCGCTGCCCTCCGCTCCCTGTGAGGAGCTGCAGCCGCCATCAGGCCTCTCCTCAGCTCCTCTGCTCTGGGCTGAGCAAACCCAGCTAGACCTACTTGGTGTCCTTTTCTAGTTGGACCTACAGAGCAGCTCTGGCAGACTGCTGACATCGCAGTGCTCCACCTGAATACACAGCTACTGCCTTGCAGACGCCACGCTACTGAAACCATGGAGTATTTGCATTCTTCTACTCTCACCCGTACTTCCAGAGAGATAATCCAGAACTGCCTGAACACTGCCAGCAAGGGGCTGCCCCTGCCCTGCAGGAATTCCTGAACAAGAGCCACCTGAGGAGCACCAAAGGTGCCCAGCCCATGCAGGGAGCAGCTGCTGGGTGAGACAGGAGCCTGCTGGCAGCACCAAAGGAAGAAGGCACAGAGACAGCAGCACCCATAGGGCCCCACCACTCAAGCGCCCTAAGAAAGCCACCACCCAAACCATTGCTGCTCCTACCCCACCAGACCTGCTGCAGCAGCACACAGGGAAACGTGCCAGCCTCTGGCCCCCTCCCTGCTGCCACCAAGTAGCAGCCCCTGCTGCTCGCTTCTGCTCCTCCATGTGACACGGGACACAGGTTTACAACCATCCCAGCACAGCAGGAGCTTCCCCGGCACCCATAGGCAGCAGAGCGGCAGCTCCTCAGGCCCTCCTCACCTCATCCCTCGCAGCAGCCGTGCAGGGGCAGCCCCGTCCTGCCCCAATGGCACCTGCAGCTCTCACCGGGCACAGGCAGGGGACGGGCCGGCACCCCAGGTGGGACCCACTGCAGGTACCTAAATTGAGAGGTGATAGATAATATCTGGAAATACGTTTGAGAAATACACCTTCTGGAATTATTCAAACAAAAATGTTTGAATAATGAACCTCTTCAGTTGTCACGTCTTTTTAGTCATTCATTCATTAATTCATTCACTTAATGGTGACATCTCAGATTGACTGTATTTTGTCTCTCAAAAGGAAGTAGAAGCAATGGTTCAAACATTGTAATGGTTTTCTGTAAGAATGAAGCTCTAGATTCTTAGCTTAGAAGTAACACAAACTCCAAAGCATTATATTTCATTCTGCTTTATATCTTCTTAGCCCTCTTCTGGATGCTTCCTAACAGCTTTATGTCCTTCTCAGATTGCAATGCCTAATCCAGCACCTAATGCTGGAAGTGAGGCCACACAGCACAGAGCACAGCAGGGCAACCCCTACCCTTACCTGGCTGGCAGTGTGGGCCTGACGCATCACCTCTGGGTATGGTTGGCCCCTTGGGCTGCCAGGGCACAATGCTGACTCATGTGAGGAGACTCATTTCTTTAGACTTCAGGAATATGCTACTCACACTT